CNNATTTCGAGTTAATCAAACATATTAAAAAAGTTTATGTTCCAAAATTATTCGAACATTCGAACATGGACGAACTCGAATTTTGATGAACAATTAAACGAACGAGCTCGAATATGGTTTTTTTGCTCGAAAAATAAACGAACTAACACGAACAATGTTCGAACGTAAACGAACACGAGCTCGAACAGCCCAAGCTCGGCTCATTCGGTTCGAATACAACACCTGTGTGGGTATGGGTATGGGTGTGGATATGTGTCCATGTGTAAATTAAGGACCCATATGGGCTGACTGCACTGTCCTTAGGGGCAGTATCAAATTTTCTCAAAATCTGTCGAACATGTTTTGATATGAGATAAAACTATTCTAATCGATTTTGACCAATTGAATTATTTTGTTTTATATCTTCTAACTTAAAATCCAACACAACTTAAATTTCTTGATTAGTATCAATATAATTAAATATTACAAATCAATTATCATATCATATCACATTTATTATTAATTCACTATTCATCAACTCATATAAATTTAACTTCATATTACTTTCTATAGCATATATTCTACTTTTACATCATATTAAATTTAATCATTGCATTTTATATATTTTTTAATTTCAAATTCAAAATCATCCATCTAATTAACTTTAGTCAAAATAACTCACTTTAACCATCAAAATCCAACCAAAATCGGTTAGATTTATATCCAATGACGCGTCCGGCAGAATAAATACATTAAAATAGGACAAATATTAGCAGATAGTGCTGCTACGGTCGGTGGTGAACTTGTTAGACCAAATAATTTTTTTTTACTCAACATATATATATATATATATAATATATATATATATATATATATATAATAAGCATAACTATTTATTAAAAATAGTAGTTAAAAATTTTAGGAGCTTTGAATGCAATCCTTTTTTTAGAAATTTTTTAAATATATGCATTAATTGCTTCTATACACAAATTTTGAAATAAGATCAAATCAGATATGATTAAAAATATTGTTTCTTTAAATAATTTTATTAATATCTGCAATAATTTCATTGATATCCATTATAATAAATTACAAGATTAATTTTTCGTGATTCATGTTGATAATATTTTGGTCAGATAAATATTACAACATATATATTATAAGTTCTAACAATAATATTAATTTTTTTTCACAAATATTCACTTTTTATCCAAAAATATTTATAGAAAATCGAAACAGGTTAGGTAGAATTTTTTCTTCCAATTAATCAGACGAAATCAAGTTGGTGAATTAATCTTTGCCAATATAATTGTTTCTTAAGCTTTATTTCATTGCTAGTGTCGGCTCTAGGCGGTCTTCTGACCTGCCTCCCAGTTTATTCAGCTTTTTGGCTGTATTTATTCAGCTAGGGGTTGTAACTTTGAATATTTGTGCGTTTTGATCTATATAATTTTCTATCGTTCCGAAAAAAAGAAAAAACAAACTTTATTTCGTTATATATAATAAATAAATTATTCTTCAGAGTAATATAATTTACCATTTAAGAGATCGTGACTGTATACATTAAATAGTTTTGCCAATGGCCAAAAATTAAAATTGAAATATATTAAATGTTCTTTAGAATTTATTGTATATTATTAGCATCCATGATTTTTTTATCATTTTTTTTTTATTTTGAATTCTTTCTATAATGAAATTCTTCTAAAATATATTTTCATTGCAGAATATGCTAAATAAACTATAAATCCTTGTAATGCAAATTAGAAATATTTTTATTACAGAAGAGATATTTAAGTTTTTCGCATTTGCTAAATTAAAATTGGTTAATTAGTACACAAAATTAAATTCTAAAAATCTCTATGTCCTGCTTTTTTCTGACTAAAAGCATTTGCAGGGAACTAGCTAGTCTGACTGCTAGGTTTTGGTGGAGCAAAGGAGACCCACAGACAGAGATGCACTCAAAATTCACGCCACCCTCATAATATATATATATATATATATATATATATATATATTTATATATATATAGAGAGAGAGAGAGTCGTGAGATTTGAGTGAGCAAGACGAAAGGAAAAGCCGGTCACCACATTGTATTGTTAAGTGGACCCTCACACTCCACAAATAATCCACATACATCGTCCAATGTTATCAACTTATGCCTTGAAATTTAATTTGTAGACTGAAAAGCTCTATATAAGCTGCATGGGGGATTTCTAACATTGTGTGTGGTGCTCTTTCAAGAATCTCCTCAACATGCTTTGTCCAATTTGCTTTCTTCTTTTCCTACTCACCCAAGTTAACTACTTTTTCAAGAGCAATCATTCTTAATTAGTTCAATTTTCTTTTCTCTTGAATTCGGTTAGAAATTTCCCAAGTAGTAAAGATTATTTCTCTAGAAATTATCACTAAGTCATATTTTTATACCGATTTATTACTAAGTAAAACACAAAAAACAAAAAAAAAAATATGGGGAGAGGGAAAGTAGAGTTGAAGAGAATCGAGAACCCCACAAACAGACAAGTAACGTTTTCAAAGAGACGAAACGGGTTGCTAAAGAAAGCGTTTGAACTGTCGGTATTATGCGAAGCCGAGGTTGCTCTCCTCGTCTTCTCTCCTTCCGGAAAGACCTACCAATTTTCCAGCCATGAGTAAGATTTTATTTATTTTTTAAGCGTATATATATAATATTATTTGTTTGTGTAATTTGGTCATGTGCAAGTTTTAGTTCATAGGAGGCTTTGTTGTATCAATATTGGTATGCTAAGGCATTTCCCTCTGATCATACAACTAATTTGATTTTTCTTTTTTTAAATGAGTATTTTGAATTGATAATTTACATGCTTCTGTTTTATAAATTACACAGGACATGATTTAGTAGTAACAAAATACTATACTAAATTAAAAGGATGATAACAATATCATTTCCATATACTACTCATTAATTGTAGATCACCAGAAAAGGACGAAAAAGCTCTAATATTGTGTATCTTTTTCTTTTCCTTTGGCTAATTTGCTTATATCATGAATTTCAGATGAATATTTCACATTTTTGTTTCTTAAGCCACATATGTATGTCAATATGTTTGTATTCCATGTTATAAATTAAATTATTAATATTACATAATAATCAATATAGCATGCATCACGCGGTTTCGATTTCGATTATTGCAGCATGAATAGGACCATTACACGGTACAAACTCGAAGTAGGAATAACCAAAACAGATGACCAAGAAATCTCATCAATGGAGGTACCTTTCTTGTTCAAGTTTAATAAATTTTACGCGTAAATAACGACAAAGAAAGAAGCAACAAAATTTCATTTCATGTTATTGTTAATGTAATTGTGGCAGGTGTGGAGAAATGGAATTGAGGAAATGAAGAGAACGGTTGAGGCTTTGGAGGCGAAAGAAAAGTGTGTATTTTTTCACTCTAAGACCTTCATAATTGTATTAATTCATAGTCAAAAAAAAATTATCACTACTAATTATTTTAATCATCCTTGTATAAATATGATGTAATTATTACTTTTGTACAGTCATTTTGCTGGAGAAAATCTATCTGGGCTGGGATTGAAAGAGTTGAAGCAGTTAGAGAGGCAACTAAGAGATGGGGTCGAACGAATTCGTTCCAAGAAGGTACACTCTTGAAACATATGAAATTTTCATAAGACGGTATTATGATAAAATAATAATAATAATAATAATAATAATAATAATAATAATAATAATTATTGCATTTTATATAAACACAAATAAAAACATTACATCTTGGTAAAATATCAATTATAACTGCAAAACTATTAGTAA